GATGATACAGGATGATGATACATAATGATGATATATGATGATGATACATGATGATGATGACGACGACGACGATGATGATGTTGATACATGATGATGATGACGACGACGACGATGATGATGATGATGTTGATCATGATGATACATAAAGATGATGACAACGACGACGACAATGATGATGATAATGATGATGATGTTGATGACGGTTTAACTGAAGCATGCATAGGGTAGCTATTAAATTATAATATATGAATATATATGTACAATAATACAGACGATACTCTTAGTACTTACCCCCATTTGTATGCCTGCTATTTTCCCATTGGAGTCGTACAACAGCATGACCGCCCTGTCACCGTTAAGAACATATCGATGACCCGCGAAATAGTTCTTTGCTGAAAAGGAGAAAAAGTACAGTTGTCGCAATTTGTTTTGGTTAATTATTATATAATCATAGTCCTCTTAAGGACGGAACATTAGAGATTTGAGGGGGGAGGGCAATTTCTTTTGAGGGCAATTTTTCTTTACACCTCATGGCTGTGCAGGAATTTTTTCTGGTACTTTTCTTATGTACGATTTTTTTCCCTCTTTAAAGCTGTGCTCAAATTGTTGTTTGTCATACGTGGTCCGACATGGCAAAACATTATGTCCAACCTAAATACTTCTATAGAGCATGTGCATGTTACGTCATAGCCGCCATCTTGGTTGACAATAACAAAGCATTCCTCATTAGTTTCTCTTGTTAGATCAACCAACATGGGGCTGTTTCATTGTTATTCATATCTCAAGGGATTTTGAGTCACATGGTTACCCACACTCCATTAATTCGATAGCTTGGTAATTTGTGGTCAGAAAGTCATAACAGGCCGTAACAGGCCGCTCTTACCGTCACAGGTTGCTGTGAGTGTCCAACCTTTTTTCTTGGCGTCGAATTCACTTAAAGGAAGTTTGTTGAACTTCAAAAATGTTACTGAAGAAAATAGAGTCAGACATTACCTAATAGACGTATCAGAGGGGAAGGACGGGGGGTACAGTTAATAAGCCACCAGGAAAAGGGAGGATAGCTAGTTTGAGCAATCCATAAACGTTAGATATTGCTGGTTTTCACTTGTACGTCATTTACGTCATTTACGTCATTTCCTGTCTTGTGCGGAATGTTCATCAGCTGAATCGCAAGTATTCAATAGAATTCTTTCTGGCTGACAGCACATGGTGGTCAGTGTTTGACCACCATCTGGAGCAGATATGAGATTCGAAAACTTTTATCAGCTGAGTGAAAGCCAGCAATAATATATTTTTTTAATATAAAACATAAAACCCTAACAATTACAAGTTCTCGTAATTGGCTCCCTGTGGCAAATCTCGAGTCAAAGAGCAATAGACTGAATGCATCTCCAGACTCTCACCCAGTCGCTTCTCTTGTCTTATTGATCTCGCGGTGCATCCTGAGAAGGAACAGTGCAGAACTGGACCACTTTTATCTGCGCGCGCGCGGTAAAAATATGAGAAGATCTGGATCGAGAGTCAGCGGACTCAATTTTCACAATCATTTTTTAGAATCRGAGCTCAGAGGATCATTTGGGTCCAGTGGTCCAAAGTGGGTCCAGTTCTGGACTAGAGAAGGAAGGAAGAGAAAAGCGAAGCGGTCACTTTCTCTCTATTTCCCAAAAGCCATCGCGCGCATTAAAAAAGCGTGAGTGACGACTGGATACGAGTCTGATGCATCTGCGTTTACCTCTAAGATTGTCCCAATCCGGCTCTGAAATTATGAAAAGAAATATGTTCCAGTTAGTTGAACATTTCATGGTTAATAGTAGTCCCTTTTATCATTCCGTAAATACCGCTGTGTTGTAAGACTGAAGACTCATCTCCGCAGGCTTAGCCTCGCTTAAGAGTAAATCATTTACAAATGTCTACTTTAATGTAAAGAATGTGCAGCTTGAACAATACCAATGTTTTGAAATCCCATGGACTTTTAATGGTATCTGTGAATAGCTGACTTATATTTAATTGTGCAGATGAGTCTGTAGTCTTCAAAAACAGCGGTATGCATCGAAAGTGAAACTACTAGTGTATTATTTACAAAGGAATGTATGGTCGTGTGGCAAGAACCATACCGCTTTCAAAAACATTTTACTCCCAAAATATTGAACATATTATTCTTAAATTTTCAGTAGTTACTAAATAAGACATTCTCTTTCGATTTCTGGAGTCGGTTTGCTTGTAGCTTGAAATTTTTTTCATGCTAATGAGGAAAAAATGTAATTAAAGATCGGCCTATAGGAAAGCAACAAGAAAGTCATTAGTGTTAGGTTTGGAAGTGTGATCTTAATAAGCAGAAACTGTTGGCAACTTATGCTTTGAACTTTTCTACTGATTATTAGTAGTTTGAGAAGTAACATCAAGCACTTGAAAGATTGTTTCATGCTCTATCCAAAAAACTAGCTCGAGGTTGGTTAAAAACTCGGCTCCATGCACTTCATTTTTTCAACTCACGTCTCGGTGCTTGGAAACGATAGAATGAAATACTCTTTCACATGTTTGATAAGTTGTAAAATTCATAAATAATTATTGAGCGTCTAAAGCATATCCAATTTTAGAAATCATGGTCATCAAGCATGTAAACCTGATACAAACCTCATGATGAAAATGCTTATTAGATACAACCTCTAGTGGGTGTATACTGTTCTGATACAGCACTAGTGGACGTTGTATCTAATTAGCATATGAATTCAAAATCCCTAAAGGATTTATGAATTATTCACGGATTTCAAGTTGTTTACAACAATAGCGTAGAGCCATTTCATGTAGTTATACCTGAAGTACTAAATGTCCGTGTTGTATCGGCCATACAATCACGAGCCAGAAGAATGATTGAGACTATCACTTTTATCATTGCTATTTCGTCCCCTAAAATAGCCCCAAAATCCACCGCGATGCCAACTCGACCTTGGAATAACTAGAAAATCACTTTCGCCTTTAACGAATAATTGTTAATTACTTTCTCATTGGTTTCTTTTATCTTATTCTCATTATATAGACACTCCTTTCTACCACCTCTTTCTCTTTTACTCCGACGAACGACTAGCGTCCGAAACGTCAGTAAGTTTTTTCATCTTTTCACGGTGTAAAATTTTCCCTTTTATTATTAGTTTCATTAGAAACACCGACGCAGCTTACACTAGTTTTTAGCTAGTTATCTCTTCCTGTTAATTACTATTATTATTTAACGGCCATAAGTAATTAATCGAAAGTTAACCGCCAAAAAGCCGTCAAGTTCAGTGCCTTTTTTACGGCGTTACACTTGAACGCTTGGCTTGCTTTAGATATTTGCAATGAACGGCCTTATGCAAATTTTTGTAAATTCTAACTTTCGTAACAGCTTAATACAAGATAGAATATATATATAACTATACCAGAAAATATAACAAAGCTAATTCGCTGCATAAAATTATTTAAGAGAAAGTAAATCAAACTCGTCTTATTTAGGTACGAGACACGAGATTATTCGTGCAGAAAATAATGATAATAATAAAAAACACGTAATTTAGAAACTGAAAAAAAACAAACACTCATAAAAGTTGTTTTTTGAGCGTCTGTTTATAGTAGAAAAAAATGTATTATTTTAAAGAGAATTTATGTTATAAAACAAATCGCCCCAAGAGTGAATGGATTATATTCAGTTTGACTTATATAGCTAATATAGTTAGCTTTTAAAAACTTACGTTCAACTTTCGGCTTTTTTTTATTCCAGAACCAAGCTTGGCTTGAGCCAGTAAGTAACACGAGGACAAGGAGAAGAAAAATCTTCATCGTAGAATTAAAAGATCAAGTTTAAACTACGATATAAGAACGACCTTACGATGGTTTAGCGAAGCAATGGAGCAGCACGTTATCACAAAAGCTACTGCCTTTTCCAACGGTTCGCTTGATTGACAACTACATGTAAATGTCATTATCATTCAAATTATTTTGTCCATCGATTTGATTGGCCGAGATAACTACAATCAACTGCCTATAAATAGTAATCTGCTCGTTTTTGCAAACAATAGTCTGCTTATGCGCAGTGAGTTGAGCGTTGCTTGCATAGAACATTGTATGCAGTGGGTAGTCTGTGTGAGTGAAAAGTGTCCCCAGTTAGTGCGAAAGCGCTAGAACGACTAGACAATTAAATAAATAGATTTTTAAAAAGTTGTATATTTGTCAACATGGAAACTGGTAAAAAAAAAATTACACAGTTTATAAAGAAAACTGGAAATTCTACAAACGTTGTCACTGTCTTCATTGCAACGCTTTTAATTAATCGAGACAAAAGTTACGACAGTTAGATAGGCAATCTTTAAAAGAAACTTGCTTGTTTTACGAGAGTAGGTCTTAATTGCCCTATTTCACTATGACGTCACATCAAGACAATCTATTGTTTAAACGCATAGGATCATGGTCGTCGGAGGGGGTCAAATCAACGCAAATTCACCGAAAATTGTTCTAAAACCCGTATCAATCCACGAAGAGAAGTTGAATAGCCACTAAACGCTCAGAATATTTTTTAGTACATATTAACACATATTATATCTGAAAACCAGGCCATTTTAGATTAAAACTGTTTCGCTAGGAGAAAATTTTTTTGAATTTTTTATTGGATTTGGCGATTCTATCYCCCACATAAACAAGCAGTGACGTCATAGTGAAATAGGGCAATTCATAGTTCCATCTCCCCTTAGTTACCGTTGCTATGTCCCAGAAGCTCAACAAATTAGCTAGAATATCTCAAAATTTAAAACTCTGATCGCGTAAAATAAATCCTAAATTGTACCCTCTCTGTAACCTAATGTAACCTAACAGTTATGCGACGTATTTTCTTCTTTTCTATCAAATTGGAGTTCAATGGCTTACTTCGACGATGCAGCGGCCATCTTGAATTACAAAGCATTGTGGGTCATCTAGGGGCAAACCATTATTACAATAATGGCGTTGATATACATTGACGGTTTGGAACAAGACAATTTGACAAGTGACGAATTAAAATATGTAAACTGTTCCACAACTGAGGAATTTTCTGAAATATCGTGGGGATCGTCATTTTAGCATCCTTGTTTTGTTTTAACCCCTGGGCGACCCATGATGCCTTCGTATCAACATGGCCGCCGAATCGTCGAATTATTCCATTGGATACCGGGGATTGTTAACTAGGCTACATATTTACTGACGATGGAAGGTTGATAAGATGTCTTGAAGCTATGCACCTCCAGAAAATCCTCATGAAAGCCTGAAATAAATAACGAAGAAACGAAGATTAGAATGAACTCCTATACATACATCTAACATTACACTAGCGGAGTTGTTCCGAGAGAAGTCCTACCTCGTTGTGATGGCCAAATTTATGGGCCATGAAGCGAGAGTAAAGTGACTCAATCGGCAAATGAATAGATCGTTTTCACTCACGTGACGAAGCAGCCATATTGGTTTACCAAACAAAAGAAACTTTCTGCACAGTTTTTGCATAAAAATTCAATTCCCGGAGGATAGAAAATGTATTGTTCTGGTCACCAACATGGCTGCTGTGACGTCTAGTGAAAACGCCCTATACCTTGAGACCTGGACAACACAGGAAGCCCAATTTATTAGGAAGCAGCTTTTCTTCTCCTACACCAACCTTCTCCCTAGCAATGTTGAATGGACGAATGCTCATGTGCACCAGGCAGGCGAAACAACATTGATAATGGGGAAGATGGTTATAGTATCTGGGAATAAATTTTAGATCCAAATTGGTTAATATTTCCATGAGATTGGACATTAATCATATTTAGTAAAAATACACAGGTGATTATTGAAAATCTCGCGCGCTGATTGGTCGAGAAACTTACACTATCACATGATAATCACCTCCAGCGATAATCCAAAATGGCGGCCAGCCGCTTTCTTGCTGTTACAGGGGGAAAATTTCTTTTATCTTCTTTTTTTTTTTNTTTTTTTTTTTTTTTTTTTTTTTTCTTCTTTTTTTTGAAAGAATCATCTGTGTATTTATACTACAACAATTATTTGCCTCAGCCTCAGCGACGAAGACTCGCGTCTCGGTAAATATTCCCCGATATTCACTTCGCCTTCGGCGAATAATTGTTAAATAAAAGTCCCATTATTTCATTTGCCGATCGCAGATCATTCATAGTATGCAGTCTGTTAGACCTTTCCTGAGATAGCGAGTATGATGCCTTCTGGTCTATCTTGGGTAAAAATATGGTTTTTTCATCATCTCTTATATAGTGTCGTGAGTTAGCGAACATGGTGTATTGTGGTCTAGCTTAAATACGATATGGCTTCTTCATCATGCCTTATATGGTGTTGTGAGATAATGAACACGGTGCATTATGGTCTAGCTTGGGTACAAATCTTTTTTTCATAATGCCTTACATCAAGAGAAAATGAACTAAGAGAAGGAATCCCCGTGCCCCATCATGTGCACACTTTGATGCTATTTTTAGAATCATTGATGCTATTTTTAGCTCCTTACCATTCCCGAGCTATAATCATGCTTCCTTTAATGCCTCGTTTTAGGACACGAAAAGCGACAAAATTACAGGCTTTTGTTTACTGTAAGACTTGAAGCCGCCTACCCTCAAGAAGTCAACCAATCAGGTTCTTCGCTCAAAATATCTCCAAGCTAAAAATAGCATCAAACTGTGCACATGATGGTTACAAGCCTATATAGGTAGGATTCCTTCTCTTAGTTCATATTCTCTTGCTTACATGGTGTTTTGTACCGAAGCTAGACCAGAATTCATCAAGTTTATTGAACTACGAAAAGGTCTTTGTATTTATTTTATTTTACTTTTATAGCCAACTCTTAATAGTTATCAATAGCTAGTGGGTTAAAGAAAAGAGACTACAAAATGTATCGCTGAATAATAAGAGATCAAATAAGAGAGGCTAGGAATCTACTACAGGGTTTCCCCAATTACAATAGAACTTTGCCTTGGTTCTTAGGAAATGGCTTACTGTTAAACAAAAATATACCAACAGCATCGCGGTATTTATTAACCTATGCCTTTTATGCAGCTCTATGTTAAGATGGCAATGCACTTGAAAGGGTCTGTTCTTATAGTATATGTCACCCGAGCATGCTTGACGACATTCATTTGGACATTGTAGATAAAAAACAGTCATATTATCTAACAGCATCGCGGTATTTATTGACCTATGCCTTTTATGCAGCTCTATGTTAAGATGGCAATGCACTTGAAAAGGG